ACAAAATGCCCCGGTCAGGGGGCTTCTTGTAACTATACAAGAAAACCATTTATAAGAGGGTCGACCGTTCCAAAATATAAGGGAAATTCCAACGGGGATGTATATAATATGTAGATATATTCAGTAGATACATATGCAGCAGGCTTGAACGCGCTTTTGTACAGAAGCTTCCTGATTCAATCTCTTCCGCTTTGAGATGGAACATGGGCGAACTCGAGCTTTTGGGGATACTGGATTTCAGACAATGAATGCAAGATAGTGCTAGCCTCTGGCTTGAGGGTGGGCGGCTGAGAAGGCGGCGCCTAACCCAAGGCTGAGGTTCCACGCGGAGCTATCAATGTGACAATGTGCAAAATTGGGTCGCTCTCAAAGTGAGATGGACTTGGCACGTCGGTAGTGATACCATCTGAATCCATATGACATGAATAGTGGATGTTCCTGAGGCCTGTAGTCTGCCTTCCAGAAGTCCCTCGACATCTGGCTGAATCTTGGAAGGAGGCACCCTTACAACAAATGCATACAAAAGCCACAAACTACAGAGCGCATCAAACACAGGCGAATATCCGCGGACAGAAACTAAACTGTGATCAACAATGAACAGCTGCGCGCTATGCTGTGGTTCCGGCTTTGGGGAATAGTACTTGAACACTTGGCCATCCCTGTCAATAACGAACTTCGCCTGAATGGCGCAAGATGGCGTAAGGCGGGGCCAAACACTTGACACATCATGCGACTCAGTGCTCTGGTCTGAGCTCTGAGGAGCTTGCAAAGTTCCATGGGATTGGCCGCCCAGTGTTTCTATTTCGTGTCTCCTGCGAATTGTACCTCTCCAGCGCAACATGCAAAAATTCAAAGACTTTCAACGTCACCATTACCAACAACAACAAAAAGTTGCGCCTGCAAAAATGCCACACTGGATGGGTGTAAGGCCCATTGACGTGGCACTTTTCGAAAATGGTGAAGTTTGCCTTCCACAGCCTGCCTTCGGGTCTCTTCCAATCCCAGCCATCAATCTCATGTCTTGAATTTGAAACAGTACTTGCAACATAGATTGATGAACAAGAATAGCCTGAAATGAAGTTGCCAATCTCCTCGTTGGTACCCTGCATGCAGGCATGGTCTGCGTTCACAAACTTAAGTGAAACGGATTCCTCTACAAAAAGTGTTCCAGCGTTCTCTCCCAAAAAGATTCCAAAGTGTACTATGTTGCGCAAGGGGGTTAGAGAACATATCATGCTGGACTTTGGTTCTCCAAGCTAAGCAAATGGCTAAATCATGCTGGCCTGCTCCTGCTTTCCAAACTGATTGCAAGGAAAACAAAGCCTGAGCATGGCAATGGCTTGCAATGGCAAGTTTCCATCAAATTATGTGAGTTTCCGTCAGCATCGCGCTTCAGACTGCTCGCAGCAGTTGCAAACAACGGACATGCAGCACGCAGAGTGCGTGGTAGATCGACTAGATTATATGGATATGTAAATCCACTTAGAGGATTTGAAGAAAACAACATTGTGGATCAAGCTGATTAATTATGGGTGATGAGTGATGAGGCGAGAAGCCTACAGTGGAAGTGAAACAGAAACCGTAAAGGGAAATTCGCTCGTTTTGGATGCGTAGTTGTTCATAATTGTTCATACAGCACCAGCACTGGCAATGCAAGCAACCAAGGTCAAAAACCCACTGGCGGCGCGGACAAGGGGGTGACGCCATTTCCTTTCGCACAAAAGCGTGCCCTGCTGATGTTAAGCACCTGTCAACATGGAACATCCTGGAACCGCACGGGACGTATGTTGCTACAGTACGGCTGGAGAGCTGACAGGAATAGCAATGTAAAACGCCAAATAATGCTGAACCTGCGCCCCAAAACTAAAGGATACTATTTTTGTCTAGCAGTCTAGCATAAATCTATCCACTTGGCACGAGATCACCGGCAAACAACATCAAACAACCGATACAAAGGATTGACACTCGTGAGCCAGTGCCACGCGTTGTCCCCACAGTGTCGCTAGGTTGCTGCAACCAAGATCATACCTCAAGTTCCAACCTTGCAAGACACAAGCGGTGCATCCATGCTTGTGCTTTAACCTGGGGGCGAATCAAGTCCCTACCCGCCAGGGCAGAGATGGGGAGAGAGAGAGAGAGGGAGAAGCCAGTTTTTGTAAATGCGCGCATTCCTAAGTCGATATTATATACCGTGATTTACCGTGCATAATAATTATATATATACTATATACAATATATATATAATATATAATATATAATATATAATATATAATATATAATATATAATATATATATATAATATAATATATAGAATATATATAATATATTTTATAGTATGATGAAATATATATGATATAATATATATATATATTATATAATATTTAATAAGCAGCTTATAATATATAATATATAATATATAATATATAATATATAATATATAATATATAATATAATATATATATAATCCCGTCCCCCTATTACGACCCCCCCAAATAATAACAACTAGGGTCCATCTCTAATTTTGGAAAATTTCAGGTTGGCCAATTTGACTTTTAACTGACCCCCCTTTAGACAACAATCTAAAAATAAAGCTACCATTTGTGGGTTTCGCCCCCTAATAATAAAAAACTAGTAAACCCCGGGGTGTTTATTATTAGGGTCCGTGAAAATTTTGTTTTTTTTCATTAAGGGTTTCAATGCAAAATTAATGGGGTCCGCTTCGATATCCAATTTTGAAATCGATTTTTATTATTATTAAGGGTTTCATTTTATTAATAGGGTCCGCTTCGAAATCCAATTTTATTAATAAGCTTCGGTGGTATCCCCAACAGCCGCGACATTATATTTTTACAAATCTTTTTGAAGCGTGCTGCGAAGCCAAGCGCTGGAAACACCACAGCTGGATTTCCGTGAGTTGAATGGCCGAAAATCCTGTTGACCTGACCTGGCTCTGCACCAAAGCCTCCCAGACCTTCACCGGAACCTTCTCCGGAACCCTGTTGACCCTGACTTCGCTTTGCACCAAAGCCTTCCCAGACCTTCTCCGGCACCTTCACCACCGGAACCTTCTCCGAAACCCTGTTGAACCTCACCCGGAACCCGGTTGAATCTGACCTGGCTCTGCACCGAAGCCTCCCAGACCTTCTCCGGCACCTTCACCACCGGAACCTTCTCCGAAACCCTGTTGAACCTCACCCGGAACCCGGTTGAATCTGACCTGGCTCTGCACCAAAGCCTCCCACACCTTCTCCGAAACCTTTTCCGGAACCTTCTGGGGAACCTTCTCCGGAACCCTGTTGACCCTGACTTCGCTTTGCACCCAAGCCTTCCACACCTTCTCCGGAACCTTCTCCGGCACCCTGTTGAACCTCACCCGGAACCCGTTGAGTCTGACCTGGCTCTGCACCGAAGCCTCCCAGACCTTCTCCGGCACCTTCACCACCGGAACCTTCTCCGAAACCCTGTTGAACCTCACCCGGAACCCGGTTGAATCTGACCTGGCTCTGCACCAAAGCCTCCCACACCTTCTCCGAAACCTTTTCCGGAACCTTCTGGGGAACCTTCTCCGGAACCCTGCTGAACCTGACTTCGCTTTGCACCAAATTGGCACCAAAGCCTTCCAGACCTTCTCCGGAACCTTCTCCGGAAACCTGACCCTGGCTTTGCACCAAAGCCTCCCACACCTTCTCCGGAACCTTCTCCAGAACCCTGTTGAACCTGACCTGGCTCTGCGCCAAAGCCTCCCAAACCTTCTCCGGAACCTCTCCGGAACAGGGTTGAACGTGACCTGACTATGCACCAAAGCCTCCCCGACCTTCTTCGGAACCTTCGGAACCTTCTCCGGAACCTCGTTGAACCTGACCCGGCGCCTGCACCAGTGCACGCCGGAGCTATTCTGGGCTGAAGACCCCATTAGCTTGCGCTGTTGGGGAATTACTATTAAGGGTTTCATTTTATTAATAGGGTCCGCTTCGAAATCCAATTTTTGGCAATATTTTAATTGCGTTATAAGTTGTATATATATATAATTATATGCAAATTTAATTGATTTTGAAATCTATTTTTTGTTACGGGTTTCAATTTATTATTAGGGTTCCCTAATAATAAATACCACCCTAATAATAAAAACTACCTGAGGTGTTTATTATTTGGGGGAGGTTAGTATTAGGGGGAAGGGATTATATATATATACCGTACGTATATATATATATATATTTATATTTATATTTATATGTATGTATGTATGTACGTACGTACGTACGTATGTATTTATGTATGTATGTATGTATGTAAGTCCGTCCGTCGGTCGGTCGGTCTGTCTGTCTGCACGTGCGTGTATATATTGAATTAGATTATATTAGATTGACACCTTTGTCTTGCATCTTTGCCAAGAAGTGGCTGGTCCTGGTAAAGGCCGGCCAGCACAGAGTTCAAACCCTCCATCTAATCAATGGTTTCTAATTTGGAAGTCTCATTCCATCTGTAAAAGCCATGGTCATGGTCAAAGATCACTGCATCGGGTGTGGTCGGCACTTCACGAGATGATGGGTTTTTGCGGCTGAGAACGAGAATCATTACAGTTCTTCATCATACGCCAGGGCGGACAACCCTGGCATGCACGACGCACGAAGGTTAGGAGCGGAATATTCTGGAATGCCACCCAGCCACTCAAAGCGTGTGTTCAAGTTGAGCCAGGCAACACTTCGAATGGTTGATCAATCAGGTTGGAGCAAAGCTCAGAAAGTTCAGTGTAGTTTTGTTCGGTCAGGCCTGCACAGGTGCTGCTCTCATTGGAGTCATCCAACCGATGATGCACACCCAAATACGATAAAATACCACAAAGAGCCCGCTCTCATTTTCTCACTTTCTCACTCTCTACTTCTCTCTCTCTCTCTCTCTCCCCATCTCCTTCCCTCATCTTCCCTCTGTCTCTCTGTCTTTAACCAATTCATTGGCTCTCATTGAGCCAAAGCAGGATGAGATGCTTTTTTGGCTGCACCTCATTGTGTTGCCACGTTCACTACAAGCAGAACCTGATAGAGGCATGGCAGGCATGGGGGAACAACACCATGGAAAAACAAATGAGTGTTGCGTGTTGTGTCTGGGCAACTGGGTGCTCAAGAAGATTGGGTCAGAGTATGGCGTGGGGCATCTGGAGGAAGGACAGGGAACTCAAAGCGATATACAGTAGATGGACTGGCAGCTCCTGTGGCACTGAAATATCATTTGATATAGGTAGAAAAAGATATGAAAAAGAGTATAAATATCTGGGAAAAAAAGAAACAACCAGCTGTGGTCTTGCTGAAATTGAAGGAGTTTGTGCTGATTTGAGTGCGTAGCCAGGAAACCTTGCCCTTGAACATGTCGAACTTCACTGACTCCCCCGATATCAGGCGGGCAGAAAGATCGTGCAAACTTCTGGTGGCAACCTGCGAAAAAAGGCACCAGCAATTTCAGAAATGCCCCTGGCTTTCTGCTTGACATTCTCCGGATATCACAGTGGAATTGTTGGGAAGGAACCGTGCCACACTCAGCCCAACATTAAGAAATTGCGAATCCCTGAAAATCAATCATCACTATGAAAATCCCTGAAAGACCACTAATCGTCACCCATCATCATTAGCCACTTTGATTTTAAACGCCTGGTTGGCACTGCACCACCCTGAAGCCCCTGAAGCCAAAGGGCCTTGGAAGTCTCACCGCCTCCCCCCACCAGGGCTAAAAGGGTCCGACCGACCTGAGTCACCGCCTGGCAAGGTTGGACTAAGGTTGGAACATGTTGGAAAATTAATTGGACGATTTTGGGTGGGGTCAGAGTAGATCAAGCCTCAAAGAGAACAGAGGAGAACGACTTAAGAAGGACTTGAAACTACTGAAACATCTGAACACAGGGTATCCGGGTATCCTCAGCATCCCACACTTGTCCGTCATTTTGCTTTCCAAGAAAATGATGGTCACTCACTGGGAAACAACAACTTACTTCACTCTTCGGATCTCTTCGCCATGCCTCCCAGGTGCCAACTTCTGGAGCAGGAGCCAACTGGCACATCCACAGTCCAAACCGGACGTCTGGGGTGAGCTCGTGCAAGAGAAACTCTATTTGCGTCCCGACAGTAGGCATTTGCATGTTTTGGCCAGAAAGCAAAACAAACGAACAACACATAAGACAACACAAGACAATGCAATAGGAGATGTTATGTATATATATATGTAAATATATGTGTGATTGCATCCTGAATGTGATTATGATCCAGTATTGTGCACTTTTTCCGTTGCTGCAGCTCCTGCAAAGCGGATCCAACCCGCAGCAAACCTCCATGTCCTTTGCTTGGACCTGCCTCGCAGTCATGGCAAATGTGTGGTGCGAGCTCCTCCTTGCAGCGTACGTTGCTGACTGTTGAATCGGCTCACAAGGACTAATCCATATCATGTTTCTCTAACATCGCAGCTGCTTAATTAATAGTACAGGGGCCTAGTGTATTGAGATGTACTGAGTGGAACAAATACATGCATCAACTATCATCCATGCATCCAATACAAACACAAACACACACACAACTACTGGCATTATGTTAGTTTAAACTGTACTGACTACAACAGTTGGTATCGTGACACCACATGTAATATCTAGGCACAACGCATATATATATATATATCACTGTATATCATATATATATATATTATTATTATTATTATACATTATAGGGATTAATGTTGGACAATAGTAAAGCGCGTGCAATACGTACAAATAATTTTCAGAATCTGATTTTTCAGCCCCTATTGATTTTAAATTAGGCCTTATTGATTTTAAATTACAGACATCAATCTTGGTCCAGAGCATCTGCAATAAATGTGCTGCTTTCGCAATAGCTACAAATTTCTTCAGAGAATTCCCAAATTATCAATTTTTCCAATACTAAATTGTAAAAGGGCTAATTGAGATTTAGTATGGATGCATGAAAAAAACTCGGAACCAGTAATTAATGACCTGCCATGAGCAGATGCGCTGTTTCTTTTAGACCCCAGAGGTGTCAGCATGGAATGTGTCTCAGAAGCAAACACAAAAACAAAGCACACCTTTACCAAATCCAAAATTTTACCTTGTTCAAAAAAAAATGTTTTCTTTATTAAAATCTTTTTAGAAAATTGCAAAAAACAGGTCCACAAAGGGTACCCCCTTGCAGGTCCTTGCGTTTGCAATTAAAAATTGGAATTATCACTTGCAATAATAAACAACCTTTCTGGCTCTAGCTGTATTTTTCCCTTCTTCCTTAGTGTTTTTAATTGTGGCCGAATGGTTTTTAATTGTGATTGCATGCTTTTCAAAAGCAAAAACAAAGCAAACCTTTACCAAATCCGAAACTTTACCGTGTTCAGAAAAACTGTTTTCTTTATTAAAATCCTTTTAGAAAATTGCAAAAAACAGGTCCACAAAGGGTACCCACTTGCAGGCCCTTGCATTTGCAATTAAAAATTGGAATTATCACTTGCAATAATAAACAACCTTTCTGGCTCTAGCTGTGTTTTTCCCTTCTTCCTTTGTGTTTTTAATTGTGGCCGAATGGTTTTTAATTGTGATTGCATGCTTTTCAAAAGCAAACACAAAGCGAACCTTTACCAAATCCAAAACATTACCTTGTTCAGTCAATGAGAATCCCATCAAAGCCTATCAGAAAACAGAGGTTCTCAATCAGAATCCAATGAGAATCTCCTCAAAGCCTATCAGAAAACAGAGGTTCTCAATCAGAAATCCAATGAAGATCCCATCAGAGCCTATCAGAAAAGAGAGGTTTTGTTGAAACCTTACAGAAGCCTTGGGGAAGAGTTGGGATTTTCGATTTACTGTTGCGGAGCAGACCCCCCCTTTAAAAAAACAAAAATCGGGGGGGACCACCCTTAGCTATTGTCGATTTAACATGATTAGTATGCATGTATATATATAAATATATATATATATGTATAAATATATATATATTAATGACAAATCCCTGATAGACCAATAGACCCTTAAAAAATTAGACCCTTTTATTAAGAAAAATTAGACCCTTTCTTTGTTTTTGGAGTACGGGTCTATTTTTTTTAAGGTGGCTAGGGGAGGATGGTGAGGAAGCCACCCTGTGCTTTGATTCTTTTTTTAAAAATCAATATATTTTTTTTTTGAAAGTATTTTTTGTTCAGTTTGTTTTCTAAAATTGGAAAGAGGTGCACTTGGTTGGTTGGAGCTGGCAGTTGGGCTGTGTCTATTTGACCTTTGCACTCACTCAGAAAACCAGCATGTGTATGTCCATGATTTTTTCAGCATCAAGGTAAATGTGTTAGCCATGGCAGATCAGCATCTGGTGGCAGCTGTGAAAGCCTTCAGGAATTGCTCTCCTGGTGGCCCTGAATCCCACAAGTTTTTGGTAGCAGATCCTGATGTCCTAGTAGAAAACCACGAGGAACTGTGCTTGGAGCTGCTGCAGCTGGAGAGAAGAATGACAATTTCTTTTCTACAAAGTGCAATAGGCAAAGCCTTCCCTAGGCTTACTGCTGGTGAATGCACAGCATGGGCTCAAAGGCTTGATGCAGGCCTCAAGCACATACTTTTGAAAAAGAAGCAGAGCACAAGTGGAAAGAAACTGAATTCTTCTGTCTGGAGAATAATTCAGCAGCTAGGACCAGAATCTCCTCAAGCAGGGGTTTCTTCGCTTTCTTCTTCCAGCAGACCTTCCCTCGCTTCTACTTCCAAGAAGCTTTCCCCTCCAGGCATTGACCCAGTGCTGAATGCCAAAACTGTGCTGCAGAAGGCGAAAGCAGCATTGGGAGATGATTCTTTTGAAGATGAGGAAATGCCAGACAAATCCAGTGCTTCAGTGGTTTCTGTGGCCAGCTCAGAGCAAGAGTATCAGCAATACTTTGACAATGCTAGTATGTGCATGGTCAGGCTGCTTCCTTCAGGGCAATTGGTGCAAAGCATCATGAAGCCTGGAGAAAACGGTTTTGCTGTGGCCACATTTCCTCCAGAAAGCGTAGACATTGCAACCGAGCTTCCCAACTCTTTGCTTCTAAGCTTCTAAGAGAGCACTGGTGCCAAGAAGAAACCTTCAGCCAAGATCCCTGTCAAGAAGAGGCCAGCTGCAGCTCTGAATGCCCTCCCTGTCTCCAAGGCTCGACATGCTGCTGCACCTGTGGAAGGGGACCCTTTCAAGTCCCCATTTGTTCTCATGTACTACAAAGAGCCCAAGCATTCTTGGGCCATTCGGCAAAGAGGTGGCAACCAGCTTTTCCAGATCACTTGCCAGCACCGACCCAAAGAGAACTTGAAAGATATCATGCTGCAGGCTGTCAAGAAGCTAGAAGCAGGTGAGCCTGCTGAGCGAGTGAAAGAGTGGTGCAAATCCCAAAGGGAATCCATTTAAGTTTTTCCATGTCCAGACTTTGTTTCACTATTTTTCAAGATCTTGGGCTTCTGAACCTCTTGCCAAAATGTGTGGAACTTTGCAATGCAGATGTGTTGGCCTTTGGTGCTGTCATGCTGCCTTGAGTGATGTGAATGGTTCCGGCAAGGTTCCTTTTGAATTTGGGAGGTCTGGGGAGGATTGGAGGCTTTAAGAGTGAGAGGGAGGAAGAATAAATATATTCAAACTCAAATATATCTATATATATATAAAAAGGAATTGTATATTTAAAAGTATTGCATTTAATCTAATATGTTTGTGTATGCATATATTAGATAGATATATAATTTGAATACATGGAATGTTTCATAGTTATATATATATATGGGAAATAGATTGCATTTATATGCGCACATCATATTGCACATGGAATGGCATAGAGAAAACATTTGACAGAGACGCACACACACACCCACTGCTGACTGAATTTTGCGGCATCACCCCAAGGGGAGGATAATTTGGGGAGGACGGGGTAACCCAAAAATATAGAGGGATATGATAGTGAAAGGAGATTTCTGAGCAGTCAAACCAGTGGACACTGCTGAAGCTGTCACATGAACAGTGCTTGCAGTGACAGAACTATGCAGCTGTGTGTGCTCAAAAAAGTTTGCCCACCATGCCTGGAAAGAGGCCCTGGTGGAGTAAGGCCTGGACAAAGGTCTGGAACGCGGACCACTCTGTGGAGCATTTTGTTTGCCCATGTCAAAAGTGCGAATCTGACTATGTGTGGAGGTTTGGATGCATTCACCCTTCATGTGTTTCTTGGATTTGTTATAAACTGATTTTTTTGGTTTGGACCATGATAATCAAGAGGGGTAGCAGGGATACTAGGGGCTGTCTACCTGTTAATGAATCTATTAAAAAACCTGTCACCTGTCAGGAAGATTATGCCAAAGTGAAGAAAGGCAAGACGCAGGAGGTGCACAAGGACGAGACCAGCTGGGATGCTTTTGTGAAAAGCTTCAAGGACTGAATGACAAATATCTGAACTGACAGTTTTGCATCGATTAAGTTTTTACTTTCCCACCCCCAATGTTTCCACCAAGTGGTGCATAAAAGGCTGGTATAACTACTATATTACACCCCCTGGTGGTGAGGAAGGGGAGGCAGGGGGTACAATATAGTAGTAGTAAATATATATATATATCTTTCAATATTTGCATAGAAGTTAATATATCTAATGGGCACTTTGGCAATAAACAAGTATAGATACATAAGAAATAAATGAATATCTATATCTATACCTATAAATGTATATATATATATATATCTATCTATATATATATATATCTATCTATCTATATATATATGTATGTATATCTAGTAGCTGAACGATAAATACATTTGCAGTGGGCTCTCACCTGGCCCAGGCAGGCAATGCAGATGTGGATTCTGCCAGCCAACAACCTGATGCTGGTGCTGCTGAGCGGCCTGCTTCCAGTGGCATTTCAGCAGAGGCAAAGGCAGCTGCAGAGGAAGAATCCAGGAAGAGAGCTGAGAATTATGAGAAAGCACAACAAGCTCAGAAGCGCAGAATGGCTGAGCAGGCTGAGGCAAAAGCTAGGTCTGAAGCCAAAGCTAGGACAAGCACACCTCCAAAGTATGTGCAGCCTAAGCCGATGCCAGCAAAGTCTGGGCCTGTTCCAAGTAAGGCTAAGCCTGTGCCAGCGAAACCGATGCCAGCACCACCACCTATGCCTAAGCATGTGGCTTGGTTCCTAGCAAATCCGACTGTTTCTGTGGAGGAGCTGCCTCCAGAATTGGAAAGCCTGCCACCAAAGGCAAAAGCTTTGCCACCCCCAGCTACCAGGGGGGCAGCTGAAGCGAAAGCATATGCAGCTGCTGTAAGTAGACAGGTGAAAGGATGGCACTTGCAGCCCAAGACGGGTTAGACAAATCCACAGAGATGAAA